CTTTTAACCAATCAGATTAACGTGCCAGCGGGCTTTAGCATCTCATTAACAGCGAACTAGCAGGGGAGCCTCGAGAGATGCCAGGTTATCCTGGTATATTTTCTGTTGATATGAAAAATCGAGTAGATTTTGCAATATAGGATGTATATTATGATGTTATGAACTATATTATGCCTTTTTCCACTGACGTTCTGAGTTGTTCAAAGCGTTTCTGATGATTGTTAGAAGGCAAACTGAGAACGGGAACAGTTTGTGTAACATTAGCAACACATTATTAGCTGTTTGATAACATAGTCAAGCAAAAGGCTAATCATATTAATTACCGTTATGTGTCCGACGTTGTAAAGAGCGATATCATTGTGCAGCTTTTACCTCAGTTGCCCTGGTGGATCTGTGAGCTGGCGTGAGTGGAGGCGGGGCTAATTAGCATATTCATAGCACCGCGTTTACTACAGGAAGCAAGGGTGTAGTGTTACAATCTTGAAGACATTTTTTCAGGGGAAAAAAAAGTTTACATATGTCGTTTTGGTGATCAAAGATGAGTTTTAAGGGATAAGAACAGGGGGACTTTTAAGAGATTAATTTATTCAAAATGACTATATGTGACATTTGATAAAAAGAAAGAACACCGGGTAAGGAGAACTGCTATTTATTTAATCTCTTCACCTCCAGACTCTTGATGTTCTGTAAAGACATGTAATCAGTTAATAATCCTCAGCTATCCTTTGAAAGGGATATTTAATCCAAAAATGCAAATTTTGTCATCATTTACTCGTGCTCATGTTCTTCCAAACCCTTAAGACCGTTCATCTTCGAAACACAAATCAAGATCTTTTTGATGAAATGCGAGAGCTTTCTGTCCCTCCATTGACAGCCACGCAACTACCACATTCAAGCCCCAGTAAGGTAGTAAAAACATCATTAAAGCTGCAGTCCGGCATTTTCCTCTTTGTCGCCATCTCTGTTCGAAATCTGCAATTGCAGTCATTCGCGGAATTATCAACTTTACGTGGGTTGTGCCTCGGCACGGCACAGCGCGGATGAACACAGTGTTTGAGGAGAGTGTGTGGCTGTCAGTCAACGCACCGGTGTGGATACTGGCATTCAGAATCACAGATTATTCTTTTTGGAAGTATGACCAACATAAGAATATTCACGGGAAAATGTCATCCGAACAAGTAAGTAACATCCACCTTTGTTCTGGTTCTGACATTGCAGTAAATCGCGCTGATTAAATCTAACAATCGCTTATAAGTTATCATATCACGCAAAACCGTGCAAATTATACTTTGTTCTCAAATTGTTAATGTTAACAACATTGTGTGACACGTAATGTCCTTCCGATATTATCCTTGTTTTCGCATGGGTCCGGTTGCAGTCTCTTTTTTCTGTAGCCACTCCGAAGTCCGAACGAAGTCTTTTGCATTTTACAGCGGGTGAATCTGTTGTCACTGGTGATCGTCGTTTGAACCTTTCTGGATCCGCCATCAAATTCATAAGTTTAATTATATCAAGTGCTGTGAGAAAAGGCTATAAATCTCCTCGTCCAGCATCCTCACACGCAATAGCTTATACTAGCCGAGACTCTTCTCCAGATGTGTGCGTACAGATGTGAAGTAATGACGCAAAGACATGCTCAAATCTCCCATGGAAATCCACCAGTACCACTGGAGTTAAAAACATTATTACAAGCTTACCGCTTTGAATCGAGCTACGGCAAGCAGAGAGTGTGGAACACTGGCTGGTTATGTATTTTCTCAAATATGTATTTTGGATATTTTTTAACCCCAAAAAAGCTACGGACTGCAGCTTTAAAGTAATCCATGAGATTCCAGTGGTTTAACCTCAGTTTTATGAAGCAACGCAAGTGCTTGTTTGCGCAAAAACAACGACAACAACAACATAATTTACCACTTTATTTACAAAATATTAATCTAATTTAAGTAGCTTTTATGAACATGCCTTGGAAGAAAAGATTACTGGTGTGAATCTTGAGACAAAACAATGGCACTGATATATTTTAAGATCTGTCAGTGCAAGTAGCTTTCAGCAAAAATAGCTCAAACATGCATTTTAGTCTGGGACTAGCCATAAGCCTGTCTGTGAAACCGGGAGTAAAAGTTTTTTTTAAAGACCCCCTGTAGTCAATCATTTTATCCAAAATGACATATTTAAACGTTTTCTTTCCTTGAAAAAAAAAAGTCCATTCATATCTTGAATGTAACTCTACACCCTTGCCTCATTTAGTATACGAAGTTCTATGAATATGCAAATGAGCCCCGCCTCCACTCACTCACTCAGCTCAGAGATCCACTGGTTGACGATCACACGTTGATCTGATTGGTTACAAGGTAGTGTGTGACGTCAGAAACACCAGCGATTTCAAACCGTGTTTTTGAGACTGTCTTTGGTTCACTGCAGTTTTAAGGAGAAAATACTCAGCAATGCTGTCGATTATGAACTTACACATGGTTTGCCTTAAAGCATATTAAAAACACCACATAGACATATAAACAACATTAAAATCTTGATTTTCACCACAGGGGGACTTTAAAGCCAAGAGTGTACGTGAAGAATGCTGAAATGGTTTGATGATTCATGGATTGTTACACCTGCATTTTCAAAGCATGAGTCTTTATGGAACACAAAAATGTGACAAAGTGGGTTTGTTTTTGTTACAAGCCAAGTAAAACTAATTTAGTTCTGTTTAGTGTAATTTTGTACTAGACCCATATGAAACAGGCAAGCACTAAATACATAAAGTATAGGCTACTTTTTTGTGAATTAAAGGAATATTGGCTTCAAATAAACCAATATTTCTGATTATTGTCAATGTTGAAAACCAGGGAAATGTTGTTCAGATCTGGAACTAAGAGGACTCAGTTTATGTTATTTCATAATTTTGACGTAGTATTATTATTGTAGAATTTTAGAAGTTATATTAGCTGTATTAGAATTATCATTCTCAACATGTGAGAACAAACTGTATGAAAACAACAAAAATTACAGTAAATTCACAGTTCAAAGATTTAAACTTAAATGCTGCCAAATGTAGGTTTTTGAGGAAAAAAATATTCTGAGAGATAATATAGTTAGACAAAAGAAATTATATTTAATAAATAAAATTTGCATGATTTAAAGGGGACCTATTATGCCCTTTTTTTACAAGATGTAATATAAGTCGCTGGTGTCCCCAGAATGTGTCTGTGAAGTTTCAGCTTAAAAACACCCACAGATAATTAATTATACCATGTTGTAAATGGCAAACACATGCTGTTTTCATGCATGTATCTTTTTCTGTTCCCGTGAGTATAAAACTAAGTTCTCCTTCACGTCTTATTGCGCTTAAACTGTCAAAAACACACAAAGTTCAGTCAGTTATGTCTGTGAACGTAAACAGCAGGTAAAGAAATCACATGTATATATTAGATCTGTGTATTAACGTGGCAGCAGCGTAATATACTGTACCTACTGCTATATATACTGTCAATATGAATCAAACAACAAAAGAAAATCAGATAAACACTCACTGCTCTTGACTGAATAACTTTAATAGCTTTAATAAGAATACATTTTTTACTTGAATGGAGCTGTTAAATGCTCTGACGAGGAGATAACATGGTGGACTGTGCAGTTCACTGAGGGGCGGAGCTAAGCTAATAGGACAGAGACGTCAGCAGTTGTGGGCGGGGCCTATGTGTTCTAATGTCAAGTCACTTTTATATATAGCGCTTTTAACAATACAGATTGTTTGAAAGCAGCTTTACAGAGATAACAGGAAAATAATGCAAACAAGTTTGTTTCCAGAAGAAAATAGCGTCACAGTCAAGCTTAAAGGGATACTCCACTTTTTTTGGAAATAGGCTCATTTTACAACTCCCCCAGAGTTAAACTGTTGAGTTTTACCGTTTTTGAAGCCATTCAGCCGATCTCCGGTTCTGGCGGTACCACTTTTAGCATAGCTTAGCATACATCACTGAAGTGGACAAGACCATTAGCATTTCTCCAAAAAAAACTACCTAAGTGTTTCGATATTTTTCCTATTTACAACTTGACTCTTCTGTAGTTACATCGTGGACTAAGACCGACGGAAAATGTAAAGTTGCGATTTTCTAGGCTGATATGGCTAGGAACTATACTCTCATTCCTGCGTAATAATCAAGAAACTTCACTGCCGTACCATGAGTGCAGCAGGCGTAATGATATGACGCAGCGCCTGAAAATAGTTCCGTTGTGTTGACGGAAGGTGGCCTATTTTCAGGCGCTGCGTCATATCATTACGCCTGCTGCACTCATGGTACGGCAGTGAAGTTTCTTGATTATTACGCAGGAATGAGGAACAGAAGAGTCAAGTTTTAAATAGGAAAAATATCGAAACTCTTTGGTCATTTTTTTTTGAGAAATGCTAATGGTCTTGTCCACTTCAATGATGTATGCTAAGCTATGCTAAAAGTGGTACCGCCAGAACCGGAGATCGGCTGAATGGATTCAAAAACGGTAAAACTGAACAGTTTAACTCTGGGGGAGTTGTAAAATGAGCCTATTTCCAAAAAAAGTGGAGTATCCCTTTAAGTAAGCTCAGTGATGTTTCATTTTTGTTGTAAAAAAGTGATTAATTTAGTTCATTTATATATATATATAGCCGCTCTGGAGAAAACCGTGATGTCATCGTCCCAGTTCAGTTCTTATATAATGTTGTAAATGCAGGCAGATCGATAATATTGTTGAATATTCAATTAATGTCTTAATGTGATGTCACATTGCATACAAACTTGAGACTATTTTAATTTTGAGACACTGTTTATGATTTATGGGGAGTAAAAAAAAGGCAGTGGGTGGATATTTACCATTATAGTGTGGTTGTGTAACTTGTGTGTAGCCTACACACACTGCCGACACACATTTATGTTCAAACGTAATTTTGCGTAACAGGTTCCCTTTAAGTATAGTGTCAGGGAAGATCTGCTCGGAGGGAGGCGGAGCGCGGTGCATGACGGGACGCGTGAGTGAGTAATCTCCACCTCATCCCTCCATCATCAGCCGCGCGCTGACCTCTGACAGCAAACGCGGAAGCAGCATGGCGTCAAACAGCAGCAACGCACAGCAGAGACTCAGAATCATCGCAGGACATCTGCAGAAACACAGGACAGAAGATGGAAACACGAGCGTCGCGGCGCAGGAGTGCAAAGCCGAGGCGTCGCGGTCCGAGCCGAGCAGCCTGACACCGGTGCCGAAGAGGAGGTACTGTATATGTGTGCGATGGGGTTCAGCTCCTCACACACACACACACACACACACACACACGCGCGCGCTACATGTGAAGAAAGAGCAGTCGCGTGAAGGGATCCAGAAGCGGGCGTTATATTGTATCAGTGTGTGAAAGCTGGAGTGAAACAAAGTATCCATTCATATCCCTGAGGAGGAGGAGGAGGGCGCGGTGGCGCGCGAGATCTGGACACGTTCAGTTTTCTTTTTTGTTGTTTTCATAATCATTGTGGTCATTGCACATATTATTGGGGTTATAGCAAACCGATGCTTGTCACAGGGCTGCTGGTTTCTCCATTATAAACTCGCATCAGCCCTTAAAGCTACAGGTCACCTAAAAATGATTCCTGTCGTCATCTACTCAGCCTCAAGGAAACGAGATTTAAGAACGAGGGCATTCAGTTAAATTTGGGTCTGTTCCTCACACAAAGCTATTAGATAATTGTAATATGTTGCACGAGTAAAGTGGACTGAGCCATATGGGGCTTGACAGCCACTTTCATTGCTTGTGATCGTCTGTATAGTAAAAGAAATAAAGTTGTGGAACATGAGGGTATAAGTAGATGAAGGATTAACAGTTGTGTGAACTCTTATCTTTAATGAAGATAACGGTCTCTCTTTACAGCTTCTGAGTTTTTTCAAGGGTCCCTGAGAGTGTTCAGAGGATGTGGAGAATATATGGTGATCTTTCTAACTGATTTCCAACTCTTTAATGGTTTAAGCCATCTGTTAAAAATGTATGTGCTTAAAGGGACAGTTCACCCAAAAAATTCTGTCATCATTTACTCACCCTCACGTTGTTCCAGACCTGTTTGAGATTCTTTCTTCTGTTTAACACAAAAGAAGATATTTTAAAGTAACCAAACATTTACACATGGTATTACATAGTATTTTTTCCCTACTATGTAAGTCAATGGGTGCCGTCATCTGTCTGGTTAGCAGCATTCTTTAAAATATCATCTTTTTGTGTTCAACTATCCCTTTTTTGAAAGCTATTATAAGTTTTTTTTCTTATTCTGGAGGTCGCTGTGTGCTGAAGTCTAGGTTTGTGAGTCCTTGAGTCTGTAAAGATTGATATCTCCTTGTTTCCTGAGTGTTCAGGCATGTTGTGCTTTCATTGCAAGTGATGATGATGTCTCTGTAAACTAAGGGCGTTGGTTACTTATTTCTGTGTGTTCTGCCTCTCAACGGCTCTGGCCTGAAGCTCTTTATAAAATCAGTTAAACTCTTATGGTCATTATATAGACTAATTATCTTTCTTGTGATTTGATTTTTTTTGCTTTTCTTGTTATATCTATGACAGCCGACAGCCGTTATCACTTTCCTCTTGTAAGTTAGTGGATAGATTAGTGGTCCTGCACTCCATGGTTGTGAATGTAAATATGAGGTGATCTTGTATTTTGTCTGTCAAAAGTTATCATGGCAAAGCTGTGCTGTGATTGGATGAGGGCCGGGGTGGCCTGACTTTGTGTTTGCTAACGGGCCTTTGCTGCCATCTAGTGCGGGACACGAGGTGAAGAAACCTTTGACCCACTGAGACACAGCTGAGAGATTTGAGTTTTTCTCCGGTCTGTCAGTGTCACGCTGTGTTCTCAGGCAGTTTGGCCACTACTAGCACAAATCACAAATGTTTTCTCTGACTGATCTTCTCAGTCTGAAACACAGGTGTGGTCTCTGCGCTTGAACACTTCTCTTCCTATGACCATTTCCTGTATTTGGCTGAAGTGTTAAAGTGGACGTGAAGGAACACAAGCAGGGCCGTCGCCAGAACATATAGAATGGGGGGGCATTTCATTTTCATGATCTACAAAACAGACAGTCACAAAAACAATAATATCCCCTATTTAGTCTAATATAACTGAAATAGACCAAATTCTATATTTAAACAACACCAAAACACATAATATTAAGTTTCTGATCATAGGAGGAGGGTGAACCAACACCATGAGGATATGCGCTTCCCCTTTAAAAACATTTACTAGGCTAGGCTATATGCAGGATTTGACATGGCAGAAAGCTCGCAAAGAGCACCTATTTTATTATCTTTAAAAAGCGGTTATACAACTTCATCGCGATCTCACAAAGTTCCTAGGCTATCAGTAAAGCTGATACACAATAATGCCTTATTTGCATAGCCTAACTGCTTATTATAACGAGAGGATTTGCACGCGCTCACCGCTCAAAACACAGGAGTTTAGCCAATATTCTTTTATTACGGAGAAAACTGATCCTAGACCAGCATTTATGGACAGCTTTTCCCTCTAAAAGCAATCAGAAGTAAGTATATGGAAGCTTGTTTTTGCCACGGAATAAAAAAAATTAAAAGATAATTGCGACTTTTTATCTCACAATGGATTTATCTCAATTCAGAGTTTTTCTCACAATTCTGACTTTATAACACGCAAATGTGACTGTATATCACTCAACTCTGACTTTATAACTTGCCATTTTGATTTAATATCACGCAATTCTTTGAAAAATTACCTTTTTTTTTACGTGGAAACAGTATGCTGTTTTTAGCAGGCAAATGAATCAGAAAATTCAACAAGCCCGCTTGGCCAGGGGAAGGTAAGCCTTGCGCAGAGCCTTACACGCTCCGACTAATTTTCATATTTCTGAAGACAATGTGTTATTTAAAGTTACAGAGATTAGTGCACTTGTGTGCTAAATGCTGCTGACGATATTTCGTTATGGAATACGTGGAAACGTTTTTTTGCTCTCAATAGTAAGTTTGCTCAATGACCATATGATTAGGGGGGCACGTTGTGTCATCTGGGGGGGCACGGCCCCCTAATGCCCCCCCTTGGCGACGGGCCTGAACACAAGTGTGTGTGTCGCACTTTTGATTACTCGATGGGACACACTTACAGCATGTTGTTTTTACAGCGCTGTATTTACAGTACTTGCACTTTAAAATAAACTTCTAATTTTGGTTTCTTGGTGACCAAAAGAAGAAGATGCATTTAGTCCTGGTTTGCTTTGCATCCACACTTTCATTCCCTTCATGAATCTCGTTTAATGAGGAGAACCAGGTATGCTTAAGGATTCTGTCCTTTTAAGGGATAGTTCACTTTGAAATTAATTTTTGGTTACCTCAAGGGCATCCAAGATGTAGGTGTCTTTGTTTCCGCAGTAGTTTCAATTTTGATATTTTTAGGTCAAACCGTTCTTGTCTGTCAGTCATATAATGCAGGTCTATGGTCACCACCTCAAAGAGCATGCACAGAGAAGTCCAAATTAAACATGATTTAATGACTCGTAAATGTAAGTACACATTGATGGCCTAAGACACGAAACGAGCGGTTTGTGTGAGAAAACGAACAGTATTTATATAGTTTTTACCTCTTGTAACCACAGCCACGTCCAAGTGATCTGAGGGTGCGGGCGCTTCGGTCTTTTCCGGCAAGCGGTGGTGACCATAGACCTGCATTATATGACTGACAGACAAGAACGGTTTGACCTAAAAATATCAAAATTGAAACTACTGCGGAAACAAAGACACCTACATCTTGGATGCCCTTGAGATAAGCTAAAACATACCAAAAATTAATTTCAAAGCGAACTATCCCTTTAAGAGTTGCATCTTGTGAGTGACATCACGTCCTGTTTTAGTTTTTTTTTTTTGATGTATTTGGTCCGTGTTGCGTTCATATTTCAGTCGAACCGCACCAGAGTTTGTGTGGGACTCTGCATATCGGGGGCCTTTAGCCCTCAAATATCAGTAGCTGCGTTTCCTTTACAGATTTGCGCAAAACTTTTGTGATATTTTCTAAATGTGGCAAAAAACGATTGCGAAATGATGGCGTTTCCATTAACCGATTTATGCGACTAAAACGTTATTTTTTTCCTCTCGTGATAAGTCATTTAAAAAATCATGGCAAACGATGTTGGTAGGTTTACATATACCCCAGCCACCGCACTAGCCATTATTATTAATCGAATGATTGAAGGTGTTTTCAATATCCAAGCATTAATGGCAAGGAAAGCCTCTTATGGTGCGTTCACACCGGACGCGAATAGCGCGTCAGGCGCGAGTGATTTCAATGTTAAGTCAATGCAAAGACACGTTACGCGCGTAAAAAATTCCTGCGGCGCGAATGAGGCGTAGAGCACGGCGCGGTAGACGCGAATACGCCTCAATCGCGCGTCAAGTGCGCGCGAACGCCGCGAATTGAGCGTCTGGCGCGTTAAGCGCGAATGATTTAGTTAGTGCTATTTGTGCATTCACGCGTTTGACGCGAATTCGCGTCTGCCGCCCGAGTTGAAAAATCTGAACTTCTGCATCAATTCGCGCCGCGTTAACCAATCAGGAGCCTGCTTGCTGCTGTCACGTGGTGAAGTATCTGGATGCTTCAATAAATTATTTTGTAATATATGACTGTGGTTCTAATGCACAACAAAGCAAATATTTTATCACATAAAACTTGATTTCAATATATGAGACATATTCATTTTGCATTGAATGCTATTTATTCCATATCTAGATTATATGAAATATTATTATAATGTAAAGACAACCAACATATACGTTCGTGTCTGGACAGTGATGTGTGAGAGAGAGAGAAAAATCACAGGACAGATTAATCACTTTTGGAGGCTGGCTTCATTTATTATCAAAACAAAAATAAATGACAGATTAGGTGGATGCGGGCGAGGGTGAACCTCGCGCCGGGCTGTAGAGCGCGGGCTCGACAGGCATAGCTAGACCACTCGAGGCCGAGGGCTTATACGGCCTACGCTGTCCTCGTCGGCGTCCTCACCATTAGGTCCACCAAACCTAGCTCCTGGAGCAAATTGTGAAACTCCTGAAACCCTCCGGAGGTTCTGGTGGACCCGAGTACAGCGACGATGTCCCCTACGCAGCTGTTTCTGCTCTCCAGAGCATATACGAGCGGTGACTCTCTCGAATAATGCTAATGCTAATGCTCGATAAACATCTAAAAAGATGGCCGCCAACGGGTTTCGAAACTTTCGCC